CGAGATTCAAAGATCTAATGACTGAAAATTTAACTTTAGTATCCGGTATGGGGAGGGTGGAGCCGGGAGCAGGTTATTGTTCGACTTTTCCACATACACCTGTATCTTTTCCGGCCATTCTTTTACGTTTTAGTGTAGGCTATTTTCACACTGTACTGAATAGCCTTTCGTGGTGCCACGGAAGGCTATATTTTGTGACTCTCCACTTTAGAGATCGGCACAGCGTAGCCTATTCCAGGTTCTCAGATAGTGGGGATGACGCGTTACTGAAAAGTACGCGAAAATATGAGTGCGTGATATGTGAAAAAAATTCCTTCCGTTTTCTTTCCGTGTTCGTGCTTTCTCAATTTCGCGGACCCCACTGTCTCGGAGTCTGGAGCAGGCCAGGCGCAGCGCAGCTTCGCTCCGTCACAGAAATCGCGCCGGCACAACCGAACCAGTGTGTGAATAGACCTTTTTACCGATACGACGGCCATATTGAATTAATTCGATTTAAGGAGTAGTATAGGATGCCCAGGGGGCATGAGCACATTTCGTTTGTATTTTCGAGCGCCTTCCGGGACCCCATTATAGTCATCCAGTCGTGAAAGTTTGACCCAATCCAGCGGCTCATCCCCATTAGCCTCTTATAAGGAAATACCCTCTCGCCACCGTCGTACAATTGTGACGGAAGAGGAAAAAATCATGAACTAAAAACGATCACGATCCATTCATTCGGTCTATCCGAGTCGTGGTTGCCACGAGATCATCATTGGATGCACACGGTAGGTTTCTGGGCACGAAAAAAGCAGAATAGTCGCTCGAGGAGTAGACGGGTACTAAATGTCTTGCTTAATCCTCCAGAATTAAGGGAAATTATTTTAGCTTCGCTTGTTTAATTTCGGAGATTTTCAATAAAAAGTAACACTGAAGACTCTTCAGTGAAAAATTTCTTGAAGCTCTCTCACGCCATCACCCAACAATTAGTTTCAGGATGTATTTGCATTGGCTACAATGCGTCAATGACCGCGCGAATTTCCATTGACTTTAACCTTCGAATAGGATCTGAATAATTTCTTGTGTTTGCACATTTCTGTGCTAGTATATTGCCGACAAAGGTGAGGTTAGAAGTTGGGAATATTAGTCTTTGCACGGGTTATGCTCATATATGCCAAGCGGAAAAATTAGTTGTGTAATAAGTAACAGGTGAAAAGTAACCAACACTCGAAAGCCATGAGATAAAAATCGACCAAAGTAGATGTAAGTCTGTATCTTCGCAAAGTGGCGCTTCAAAATCTTAACAAGGGTATGCAAAACGCCAGGAAAGGCATTTAATCTTGAACTTACATTGGTAAGAGTTTGTCAAGATGCTAAGACAGATGAAAGTACGCTAAGAAACATGTCATTAAGCAACATTCTTTTTAAATTTGACACATTTGAGAAGAGCATGATATGCTCGACCAAACGAAACCTCTTCTTTTCTTTTTGCTGAGTCTAATTCTAAAAACCCACCGAGTTTAGTATAGACGAACATCAAACTAGAACAGAACCGCAACGAAAAAAGCAGATAGGTTTAAAATTTGCAGATAATCAAAGACAATTTTATGAATCAAATTAACATTCATCCCTTGAATTTAAAAGGCACTTTTTTTGACATCTCCAATGAAAAATTGGTGCGATGATAATTAACTAATATGAACCGCCAGAAACAGGCAATTTTGAAGGCTGCAGTAATTTTTTGATTCTACAACGCTTCGAATATCTTTTTATTGAGCTGACTAAACTTTCTTACAGATGCGGGCAAATCCGTAAGGTGTTGTTAACTACAGAAACCTAAAAATGTGTTTCCTCCTATTGCTGTAGTTTTAATGACGCTAAAATTAAGTGAGAAAACTTTATTGAATAACATGCAGGAGGCAACCTTATAAATAGCAGTGAATTTTTAATTAGAGTATTCAGTGTTTCAATTCAAAGACTATAATTTTTAAGGAAGGCAATGAAGTTCTGCAAAACAAAAGTAGAATCAACATTCCAAGTTAAGCTAGAATGTTTTTTTGGTTCTATCAAGAAAACCGATCTTCTTCAACAAAGACCATGGGATACGAGATAAGTATAGTCGCTTTAAAAAATACACACTGTACAAACTTCCTGATAGTTCAGATTCTGTGCCTGTCGCCTCCCCAGCGGCGAGGCAATTTCGAATATGTCATTCTTGTGCTTAAAAACAACACAACAGTCACCGCGAGAGGTCATCAAATGAAATGACTTCAATGGATCTTTATTAGTTATACAGCCTTCTGGCCCGTTTCGGTGCAGGCCTGAAAACTGCGTTTAATTGTTTTCAAATTAAAAAAAAAATTGTTTATTTTTATTTCTAGTGTATTGTGCCAGGAGCCCTGGTTTCACTTAATATATTTCCCATGATTTTTATCCAAAATAGTCTTGCCTCTTTCCATTTTGACACTGTTTTCTTTTGTTATTTATATCTCATCTTTTCAGCAAATAACATATGGTTAAATTGTTGACAGGCCGACACGCAACCACCTCCGTGAAATAATTTCTTTCTGGTATCAATAGCTACACCAATAACCAACTGCCTTTGGATTAAACGGTGATAGACCTAAGGACATCAAAACCAAGAACGATCAACGAACACAGGTACAACATCGCTATATTATAAAAAAAGTATTGCATTATTCACAGGAAAGCGTTAGTGAGATTGCTTCATTCAAGGGTCTCCAAAATTCATTTGGAAAAAATAATTCGATTCAATATTCGTTTGACATTTGTTGAAACAACTGCCTTTTCGGGATGAAACAACTGTCTTTTCTGGAGCTCGTTCACTTTCTTAACTACCTAATTAGTGCATTTTACCATCGTGTTAGAGATATTTAAAGACCTTTGAAGACCGTGAGCATTCGAGTCACAAAATAACAATTAAAATAAGTTGTTGAAATGGTGAAAAGCATTCTCGTACCCAGCCCCCACGTCGCCTGACACTCCATACACAACATATACAATCGTTAAAGCCTTGTATTTATGGTGTAGTGTATTTTAAAGCGGCTTTTCTCTACACCGTATTATTTTGTAATACTGAGTCCGTATTATTAAAAACTGAATCATTGGATAATGAAATTCTAGAGCTCTGATTGGCTTCGCCATCATGGTAAATGAGCCATTATACCATGCTCTCCAAATATGGTAAATGTACGCGTCTTCTGAAAATTAAAAACAAGCTGAAAATCGATTGTTTTTTAACATAAAGTCGGGAAAAATTCTCGATATTTTGTGGAAGCTTTTAATAAAACAATTATTACACTCACTCTTGTGGGATATGAGATGATTATGGCCAGCTCGGCGCTAGGTGCCTCGTTGGCCATCTATCATCTCATATCCAACGCGCACTAGAGGAATAATTGTTAATTATTTTCCAGACGTTATACCCTTATATATACGATTGTACACTCCCGAGGCTTTCGCTCTTAGTATCAAGTGTCACATGATAATGATAATTTTACATCATCGGCGAAATTCGCTGTTTTCTTGGGGAGGGGAGGGGAAGGGGGAGAAACTATTTCACTTTTCAACCGCAACGTAGAGGGGTTTGGTGAACAGATATAATTTGGGTTAGAATTATTGTTCCAACGTTGCTACTTTAATCGATTTTTTTGCTACTCTGATTGCCGGAGAGGTTTTTTTGACGCTAAGGAGGCTAGGTGTTTTGCCTAACCATAATCTAACTTAGAGCGAGTTATTGCGAAGTCTGACGCCCAAAATTCCGGCATTAAACGGTATGGCAAAATTTATCGAATATTTTTTTAGTTGCTAACTTTTATTAGGACGGGTGTGTTCCGTGCTTCTTTCACAAATTTCAAAAAAAAAATTTAAGGCTGCCTTTAGTTGGGAACTTGGAAAGGGTTTCAGTTTCAAAATCCAAATTCACACTTCTAATCGAACGCGAGATCTCGAGGACGGATTTCCCTACACGAAAATCCTTTTGCAAACCTGATGGTGATGGATGGGACTGAGTGCAAGCGCGAAATCCATCAGCTCTTGATTTTGGATAGGAATATGCAAACTTTACGATCCAAAGTTCCCAAGGCTGATAATTTTATAAGAGATTTTAAGATACTGCCACTTGAAATCCATTTATCGGAGGGGATCAATGTTTTCTCGAAACACTTGCGTGCGAAAATTCTTAACGTTTGTCATTGCGTTTTAGCACACTCGATGGAGCCCAAATTACACGACTTCGCAACAAATGGAGGCACTTGAAGAAAACCTGAAGCCTTTTGCTTTTAAAATGTTCTTCCACTTGAAAGTAATTAACATCGAAAATGTATTTTGCCCCTTCGGAGTCATTTTCATGGCCGGATACATTAGTAAAACAAATGATATGATCGTCAAAGTAAACTTCTTAACATAAAATCCATTCATATTAACGATGATCCGTAGACGGTGTTAATTGTAAAATTCAAAACCTGATATCTTACCAAGGGCATATCAATGATATTTAGAGATATAAAGGACCCGCTAGAGTCAAGCTATTTAGTCGAAAGAACCTTTAATTAGAAAAAGACATCTCTTGTCTTTCCTACTGAAACCGTTGATCTTTTACTATACATACAGTCACCGCTTTAGTAAGTCAGTCACCTTTTGAAGAAAACAACACAGGTGTATTTTCCATTTCAAGTGGGCTTCTTGTGTTCAAATACTCCGCGTTTGCCCAAGGTTTGTTTATAGGAAAAAAACTTGTCTTTACAAACGTACTCACTCATAGATGGGTAATATTTTAAGAGGACAGGACATTTGTTCGTGAGTAAACTTACCGTGCCTATTGCTGTTTAATTTGCTTGTTGGCTGGCGAACTGAAATGCTAATTCTGAGCAAATATTGACTAAAAATTTCTTTTCAGCTTCGTGGTGTCGGGCAGATGGTAAGCAGTGAGTTAATTGAGCTCTTCTGTGGCGTTGACCTGGCGCAAATCAAGACGCAAAAATTTTGAGTGCATATCTGCCAACATGAGCTCGACACAAGAATGTACGCTAAACGCTACTTCGCCGCCAACCATCTTTTCGCCAAGAAGTGACGCCGAAATCTTTACACAAGTTACAGTGCTTGTTATTATTTGCGTCGGCAGCGTTTTTGGAAACGCTTTCGTCGTAGGAATTATCATCTCCAACTACAAACTACACAAGCCGACCTACTACTTCATAAGCAGCCTAGCCGTTGCCGATTTTCTCGTTGGGGCCCTTTACATTCCGTTTTACATCGCATCTTCAGTCGCCCGTCACTGGCAGCTTTCTTTCGCTTGGTGTAAGTGGCACGCGGCCTTTATTTCACTGAGTGTGAACGCCTCGCTCATGACTCTGTGTTTGGTAAGCGTGGATCGGTTTCTCGCGATAACAGATCCTTTGAGGTAAGCTTGTCCAAACCCAATTAATTTGGGAGCTTAAGCAACGACGAAGGCGACGGCAACGAGAACAGCAAAAAAGCAATAGGTTTGTATTAGCAAAACAACTTTGCACGTTTATCGCGCTTTTTTGTGCATTTCTTTGCCCTCGTTGCACTACAACAACGTCAGTGAAATTGCCCGTTGTCCCGTTTTGTCGAGGGCGGGAACACAAGACAACAACTTTCTTTTTCTTCTCCTAAAATTTGATACAGTCCTTTAGAATTCAACTCGAAAAAAATTGGCCAGCATTTGACGATTTAAACTAGATGGAATAGGCGCGATAAAGTTTGAGGTAGCGCGAAGTCACCCAAATGACGTTTTCGTGGCCTCCGCCATCGTTGTTGCAGCATCGAAGGAACGAATTCATTCAAACCAAGCAAAAATATAATAAACACACAGTTAAAGCTATATGACTGTAAACTAAGTCTACTCAAAAGCAATTAAACACAATACATATATTTTTAACCATATAAAGGTGCAACACGCAAGCAATATTTCTTTAGCCTGCTTATCGGCTGCAGTTGTGTGGGATCGAACAAAATGTTTCTATGACATATTGTCGTTAAAATACTCTGTTATATTTTGTTGTGGAAACGACAAGCATAAGTTTGATTCAGATCACAAAAGTACAACAAAAAAGAGAACTGAACAAGACTGAAATTTAACGTACATTATTAACTTTTGAACACTTTCTAATAAAGTCACTGACCGACCCTTAAGGTTGATTTCAATTTCAGAAAAACCGACTTTCTTCCAGATTCGATGTGCTCTAGCTAGATAGCGAGACCAACCAGAGCCATTCTTCCGATCAAATACCAATGATTGGTTTACACATACGATCATGTAGCGCGCGTAAGAACAAACAGAACAAGAAATACTCACAGAGACACAGGAACGTTCTAATAGGGAACCTTTTGCAACAAAAAATTACAACAAAAGGATCTCATCTTAAGCGTGTTGTCGAATTTTTATGAGGCTTCCGACTTATTTCAGTAAGCCAGGACTAAAAAAAGACACCCAGAAAGGCAAAAAGAAAGGGCATTTCTACATTCGCTCAAGCCAAAAAGGGAAGTTGTTACTAGCCTTAATCACATCCGTGCAAAAAAAAGACAATCTCATGTTTTTATTTGTTGTCACCTGTATTTCCTTCATCCTGAAGAAGTTACCGGGCTTATTTACTCAAGTTTTGTTATCACTTCTTTGAAACATTTCAAAGGTAATGATAAAACGAGGGTTTTGCTATCGTCTTTGCAACTTAATTACCAATTCAGATGTAAATTAACCTTCCAATAGGTGTCATTATTTTAGAAATATATTACACGTTCGACCATAGATACGGTCTTTGGAAGGGAGTTTTTAAGTGTTAGCAGATAGCCTGGTGCAAATTAAATCCGTCTCAGTAATTTCAGTAACTCTTGGCTTTTTGATCAAAGCAGATAAAGGTATTAATGAAAACGGAAAGAGGGGCTTAAGGATACAAGCAGTATTTAAACACCTCGGAAAATTAATATTGTCCCTAGCTTCCGCTAGCTTCTAGCTTCGCAATACTTCCAAATGGTATTAACTGTTTGCCGCTCAGTATTTTGCAAGATGTCCCACTTTTCACGACTTTTTACAAAGGAGGATATTTTACTATGACTTTCCACGAAGTTTGAGGCACGATAAAGTTAGAAAATGCGGTTTAAAGAAAAAAAATGAAAACTAAGATAGGAAAAGAATGATGTTCAACAAGACAATCTGGTTTAAAGCAAAGTCTGTCGAGAGTTGTGGATTTATTTTGCAGCTGACTATAAGGAAATGACTATAAAAAAAAATTCGCAGCGAAACGTAAACTTCCAATTATAAGCACTCGGCTTAAACTGCGTAAGGAGTCTTAGGACGGGTTATAAACGGGGGAGCTTATATCTGGGAGGGCACGAGACTAAAAAAAAGCGCGTTTCAAAACAAGCTACATAGCAGCGCTGATCCAAATACTTTTTGAATTTACTCGCTTTTTTAAGCTTCAAAACAGTATAAAAATCGAATTCATTTCAATACAGGCTAGAGGGAGAGGGGGGCGTATACCCGAGAGGCTTATAACCGGATGGTTTTTTTCTTTGTTTGCAGGTAAACAATAACTGGTGCGGGGGGGGGGGGGGGGGGAATATAAGCGGCAGTTTACGGTATCATATCAACAGAACAAAAAAAAAATTCAGATTTTAATTGCAATCGTAATTCAAAAAACAAGCAACAGACGAATTAGAACTGATTTTGATTCCCAGGCAGAGGAGTTGCAGAGTGATAAACTAAAAATTAATGGAAATTAAGAAAATAAACGGACATATTCCATACAAGTTAATTTCTTATTAACAAAGTATTTCTTATCCTCCTAGATACCAGACCACACTTACCACTCGTCGTTCAGCGCTGTTACTGCTGGGGGGCTGGATCCACTCTATCCTCTGGGCTGTTTCACCGCAGTTGGGCTGGGGCGAGGTCGTGTATGATTCCAAGACCTCCACTTGTCGTCCAAACTGGGGTGCACGAGGACTGGGTAATAGGTTGTATGCTCTTGGCCTTGCTCTGTTTCCCTTTGCTGTTCCAGTGGTTTGCATGGTGTATTGCTACTGCAGAATATTCTGTGTTGCCAGGCAACATATCAAGAGCATTAAAAAGAATTCGGTGCAGAGCTCGGGCTCTAATACGTCTTACCAAAGAGCTATGGAAACAAAAGCCATGAAGACACTGCTGCTAGTATTGGGGGCGTTTGTTGTGGCATGGCTCCCTTACACCGTGTCTTCTATTGTTACCATGACGACCAAAGGAACATGGGATATCTCCATAAGTGGTCTGAACGCAGTGCTCACGATCACTACTTTGAATGGCTGCGTGAATCCGGTGATCTACGGCATCAGAGACCAGCGGTTTCGCTCGGGAGCGAGGAGGGTGCTATGTCCGCAGTCATCAAGGGGTGCGAGCGATTTCAACAGCTACGCATCAACAAGGAGACCCACGAACACAGAAATACAAGAGAATGTTGAGCTAGGAAACATCAACTTCGCTCAAGAGCATTGATCAACAGGTCTTGAACTCTGCCGATAGCTGTCTCCATATGTCATACATGGTGCGAAGAGACCTTGCTCTCTTGAACAGATTTCTTAGTAAAGCCTTTACTAATTATAAAAGGGCACAGGGCAAGAAAGCCAAAGAGGTACAGATTATCAGCTACCATTCATAGCGATAAGGTTACCTCAAGACTGCCACAAGTTGACTTTCTCTTTTATTCACGTGCACAGAGCGTCTTTTTCCACTTGACGAAACCGTACTTAACGCGTGCAAGACTTCGCAGAACACTATCGAATTCACGTGATTCGGCCGAAAACGTATACTAAATACGTGCAGTGAACATGTACCATAGTGATCTTAAGTTTTTTCCTCGAAGATGTTAGCTATATATCGTAGCTTCTCTAAAAATCCAGATGAAATAATGGCAATGTATGAAATGAACACCTCAACTGATTTACCAGAGTTCCAAGAACAGCAGTTTTCTCTCCTAATTGCAGGCCCTCGAGGTATTTTATCGGAAGACAAACAGAACTGATCGAAAAAGGAAATGCTCCATCTCTTTCATGTCCACATCTATTTAGCTCCCGTTATTTGTTTGCGTTGGTGTTGCTTTCCCTCCGTTTTTAATTCCGTTTCCACCCGGCTTGTATAAACATTCCTTATGACCCGAGGGTGACTTAAATTTGAAAGAGGCGGGGATTTTCGTCCAAACATGGAGATTAAATCCCTAGATGAGACTGACGTCACTAACTTAGGCATATCTAAACTTTTTCTTGACTCCAAGAAGATACAATTCCTCAATAAACAGCCAACAAATAAAAGTATGGTGATTTTTAATTCCGATAAAGACGTTATCGTTGAATACTTTTCATTGTTTTTTTTTTTCTTCACCGAAAGCTCTAACTAGTACACGTACGGGTCAAAATGTTGGCGGTTCTGAATGGCCTAAGTGATTCTTTAAATATGCAAATTACATCGGTGAATGAGGAGAAGCACATCCCCTTCTCCCCCCCCCCCGGAATTTACATTTCAAACTTAAGTACCATAAACACAGATCACACCTATCACTCTGGTGGGTATTCATTTATTATTTACAAACCGGTCAACTGTACAAACGCTAATATTTCAGTAATTTAAAAATTTAAATTTAAAGTAACTTGAAAAGTTACCAGAATTTTTGTATAATTGAGATTAAAATGTTCCACTGTCCATAACATGATGTCACGCCCGCCATGTTGTTGTCCCAAAACAATGAAACGGATGCCATGTTGGTGTCCGAAATCAGTCCTGTGAGAACTGAACTCGTTTCTTATGTAAACGTTTTCTTTTGTCCTATAAATTTGCATAGCTGCTAGTCACGTGTGAAAACGCTCTATGGGGGAAATTTATATGGATCAATTTAGGTCTCTGGGAAACTGCCCACCTACCCCTCTCCTAAGTCAACATTAACACTTACTTCTCACTTAGGGCAAGATGTTGGGTTAGGGGAGGGGTAGGTGGGCAGTTTCACAGAAATCTAAATTGTTCCAATTATATTTTGGTCACCTCTAAGGGCTATCGGGCGAGCCCGAGCATGCGAAATGTAGGTTCTTAGATCAAATATGCGCGTGAAGAAAAACTACTTGCGTGCGACCTTCTTTCTCTTGTTTTTGCTCTATTCATGCAGACTACATAATCGACTCCAGAGCTCACGCTTGTGACTCGGCGCTTTCCCTGGCGGCGGCACGCAGAAGAGCTCCGGGATTGAGACTAGGTGCCTCGGCGTAAAGGGTTAAAAATTGTGACTACATATGCTGGTTGTGTCTAAAAATTAATTTCACAATATAAAAAATACTTAGTCAATTTCATAATATCTTACTAGTACTAGTAATAACTTAATTCGCTTGAGATTTAATATGACGTAGAAATATAACCACTCTCAGAAGACATTTTGTACACACTAAATGCTTCCGAATAAAAATTGCAATTAATGACAAAAATGCCTTGCTTTGTTTTGAGGCTACCAATTAAATTTTAGCAGACTTTCATATCCATCCACGATGTCAAGACTCGTCGTCCGCCCAAGCCGCAAAACGGTTCCTCTTGCCCGGTAAAGCCATGATATCAGGGGGGAGGGGTCGTTCCCAGTCAGAATCATCAGGTAGGTTTGATAATCTCTGTGGGGGAGGGGGTGGTGGGGGCCAGTTCACACTGTCATCTTCTGATGTTTCTGAATCAGAACTGGAGCCGTTGGTGGATATTCCATTTTCAGTTCTATCACATGACTCACTAGCACCTTCTCTAGTTTTCTTCTTCTTCTTTTTCGATGGATCAACTTGCGAGTATAATGGACGTTCATTTCCATGTACCGCTAGACGACTTTTGGAATCGTCGTCGTCGTCAGATGAACTCGATTCATTTGTTGTAAGTCCGTTTGCTGCGCTACCACTGGTGGATTTATCGGCAGCTCTCTTAACTAAACTGTCCGGAACAGCTATCCGGTCCTTATGGTCTTTATCTTCCTGGGAATTCTCTAAAGGATCGTATTTTGTTACCGGAGGGGGTGGGGGAATCCAGTTGGGAGGAGTATCGTCTTCATCACTGGAAGATAACTCGGTAGAATCCTTGGGTACATTCGTTAAATATTGATTTTGTCCCTTCAGGTTTTCTAAATCTCGTTCCGCTGCGTTGGTTCCCATTTGCGCATTATGGCTAACATCTACACTAGCATAGACAGTATTCCCGTTCCTCCGAGGGGCTACAGGACTGCGCGTGGGTTGGTAGTTTTTCAGGCGAATATAATCTCCGTCATCCCCCGAGGATAAAGAGACCTCGTGGCTTAGCGTCGATGGATCCAAGTACCGCAGTCGTGGATCATGCGCGCGCGCGAGACTAGCTGAGTTCCTGTCTCCTACGAACATTTGCTCGTCGATATCATCATCTTCGACCGCGAAGTTGTATGTGCCCTCCACGCTTCCATCGCTATCGTTACTCGTAGAACCGCGCGAGGTGTTACTTTCGGCTCGTCGACCTCTGTTTCGAACGGTGTAGTTTAGCGATGGATCTCCCTGCGCGTTTTCAATACGGAAACTTTGACCTAAAAAAAAAAATGAATCATTTTCTCAAGGTGCCGTTGCCCATTATGAGACCGAATCCAGACCTTGTGGTAAGAGTACCCATTTATACATTTATAACCAGATGTACTTTTTACAGGTAGATGGGCGTATAACTGGGGGAGGGAAGGGGGGCATATAAACGAAAGTTTACGATATACCACGTTCTAAAGGCATCTGCACGAGGCTTTCAAATTTGAAAAACAAAAAAAAAACAAATGAAATTTATTTGTGTGTCAATGTATTTAGCACGAAAGTACTAATTGGAGACACTATTTTTACGTCTCCTGCGGGAGACGGGACCGCCATTTTATGTGGTCATCCGAGCCACGCGAAGGTCTAGCCATTTGCAGGGCAAAGGCAGTACTTTCATTTCTCAGTCATTCTAAGACCCTGAGTGTTGGTCCGGCCCCGGGAAGAGAACCTGCGACCTCCCGCTCTGCAGTCAAGCGCTCTACCGACTGAGCTAATCCTACCGCGGTTAATGCTGAGCAGGGATAGATCTGGGTACAAGATTATGACTTACGTGCTCGTTTGGTCTGTCTCCGTTTGAAGCAAACAAAAGCAATGATAATAAGTAAGAGAAGAAAACCAACTAAGAAACAAATGATTGCCACTTGTAATCCAGACGTTTCTTCTTCACCACTTGATTTTGAAGATACGACCAGAGCATCTACAAAAAACGGCGTCAAAAACGTTTGGTAAGAGGTGATGTTTAGGCGAACGTCCCGCCCTCCCACACTAAACTGATACTTCGATACGGGCAGATAGTGAAAGTGGCTGTATTTTAGAGGCATGTGCTGTACTTTGAAAACAAAGGAGTTGTAAGTAACAGCAGAGAGAGGTGCTCATATCATTATCATCATCGTTGTCGTCATCATCATCATTATTACCATCACTAACATCATCATTTCGTCATCATTAGTATTATTATCACCACCACCACTACCACCACTACCATCGTCATCATCACCACCACCGCCACCACCACTATCATCATCATCATCATCATCATCACCACCACCACCACCACCACCACCACCACCTTCAGCACCACCACTGATCATGATAATCATAATTATCATCATCATTATCATAACTATCACCATTAATCACCATCGTCCCTTGAGTGCCCTTGCGATCAATGCAACTAAGCACGCCAGAGGGACTTTCCCAAGTTACTCAAACATGACCCCTTATATCTTGAGATTATGTCTTAATTAAAAGTGAGGTTTTTCTACTTTTGTAGATCAAATACCAGACTACCATTTCAAAGCTAAAGATATGCCAAAGAACTTAAACCCGGAATTTAAAGTCAATTTCATGCAGGCTCACGCATTTCTGGCTTGTCTCACTAAAATGGAGCCGTCCATCAGTAACTCTTTATGGTCAATTGATACGTGTTTAATTTACCTCACCAAAATATACGATTAAGCCAAAGTTTCCCAGCGATAAAGCGCCACATTTCTTCCTTTGAAATCATACATCATATCTTTTAGGTGCTCGCCTAAATTTCATAAGGAAAACTTACCTGTACCGGTCTTGACGACTTGTGGTTCTGAGAAAGGACCAATCCCTGCATTGCTATACATCCGGGCTTTTATTTCGTATTTGGTGTCGGGTTTAAGATCAAGGATGAGGTGCACCGTGTGCATCATGTTATGTAACCGCACCTGCTTATAAGCAACCGCACTCTGGTATTCTTTGTGCCACACATCGTAACCCGCAACTGAAAAAGGAGGAATCTACAAAAAGGAATTAAAGAAAAAATTATAGCACTGAAGAAAGACTACATTGTGAGCAGTTTCTCTTCCTTTTTTCCTCAGATTTTGTGAGGGAAGTGCACGCGCGCACCGGCACCGCCGCAAGACGCGGCAAACGAGGGTGCAAGTCATGCTCATGGTTATCGCTCGACGGACTACTGAGAAAAAAGAAAGACACACTTATTATCTTCCAAGCTCTCTTTTCCTGCAAAGCATTTACGAGATATTTATGAAATTTTGCTCATTGGGTTCTCAAAAAGATAAATACAAACGAGACAAATCAAAAAGGCGTGCTGACTTAAGGCTTTGCTTTGAATGATACTGCACCTTCCATTTAACCATGATCTGATAAGCTCCATTAGACAGCACTGTTAAATCCACAGGCGGCGTCAGGGGAACTAAAAAATGAATAAGAACTTGTCAGCAAGAGATTTTTTCTCGATTGCTGCATAATGCAAAACAAGTTTGCTTTCCTAGCCTAGTAAAGGTTAAATGCACGTTTGTAATGCTTCACGTTCCAACCTCGTTCCCAGGTTTCTCTCCTACTCGTCCCAACGAAGCAAGAGGGACGAGGGGACGTGGGACGAGTAGGAGAGAAACCTGGCAGCGAGTTTGCTTAGAGTTCACGTTTGCTGATTTTTCTGACTGCCTGTCTGCTATAGGGCGTTTTCACTCACGTGGATAGCAGCCATGCAAATTTATTGCGACAAAAGAAAGAGTTTACATAAGAAAAGAGTTCAATTCCCACAGGACTGGTTTAAGACACCAAGATGGCGGACGTGACGTCACGGGCAAAGGCTCTATTTGATGCTCCACACACAACAGAAGAATAGGCACAACTGTTAACCGCAAGGTTTCTGGGAATATATGCGTGCACAAGAGTTAGTTTTTCTTGATCGATGGTATCTAACCATAAACCAGTAATTACTTGTTTACCATCCAAACGATCTAAAAAATCGATGGCCCATTCTTCCCACAGAGTGGAGAAACACTTGTATGAAACGTTCAGTCGAACACGCTCCACGTTTCACTCACCTATCTGCCATGTTTTTACAGCTTCTGAAACATGTCTACTCCATCTTTCCACGCCATCATTCCTTTTTCTTCCAGCAAACACCATAATAGTGTAAACAGTGTCAGGTAACAGGCCTACCAACGTGAAATTTTGCGGGCTTCCAGATGGAGAATGCCGAATAAACAAATCGTCCGAGACATTGCCACCCTGTGGTATGTAATTGACTCGGTAGAGGATATTGCTGAGGTAACCATTTAACATAGCCGGTTTGATCCAAGACATCACGATGACGCTATCATTCTTGGCCGTTAATTTTAGCTCCCTCGGGGTTGACGGTGCTGTTAGGAGAAGACAACAAATGCAACTTACAAGCTCAATCCCATAAAATATGAACAAAATTAAAAAAACCCTGAAAAAAAAGAACGAGAAAAAGAAAAAAAACTGACACATGAGTCCTAAAAGGTCTGTTGTTTAATTCTCTTTGCTCTTCGCTTTGTTTTTTTTTTTTTTTTTTTGGCAGAAGATACCCACGGAGTACGAATTCGCCACAAAACGAAAAAAAACCTTGGGCCGATTTAACTTTCGCTAAGACTTTTGGGATCTTTACTGGGGACGTGCTCGTCAGCTATTGGTCAATTTTTTCCTTGTCCTCATTAACAGTCCCTGAAGTCTTCGCGAAAGTAAATCGGCCCCAGTTTCCTTCTCGTTTGTTATCCATTTCAGAGCAAAAAAAAAATTTCGTCACGATGGACAATTTCTTGTGACTAGAAAACGTTCTTAGCTTTCTGTTTCCAATATCTCCACTACTTTGTCAAGTCCATGCTTTTACTAAGTTCGCATATCTTCATTTTGGCGGCCATCTCATACATCGTTTGTACCAAAATATCTTGCATACCTCCCTCCAATGTAGTCACATTCTGAGATGGTTGGCTGTACAGACTAGTTCCCAGACCATTTTTGGCCCTCACTCTGAACGAGTAAGTAGTGAATGAGTTCAATTCACTGACAAGTACTGACGTTCCTAATATGGTTTCATTGACTTGTTCCCAGTCTCCAGTTGCAGACATAACTTCCACCATGTATTGCAGAACAAGGTCCAAGGCACTTGATTTGTTCCAGGTCACGTGCAATGACGTCTCCATGATCGTTGTTATGGTTACATCGGAAGGTGCCACGGGAACTAAAACCAAGATACATCAGTTGAGTTACGTGAAACAGACACAAAAGTTATTTCTTTAGCCAATCACAAAATGTGCAGACAATCCAAGGAACCAATCAGAACCTGAGGCTCAGCATGTAGCAGGTGCCACGGACGGGAAAACGCGCTTCGCGCCAATTGGCGGCCGTTACTTCTGATTGGCTGATAAGATGGCACGATGTTTTTCAGCCAATTACAAAGCTTCGTTTTACACAACCAAACCAATCACCACATTTTCAAAATTGCCTGTGTTCTACCCTTTCAAACCCTCTCCACTACTATTTTGATCTGTCAATTCATAAATCACTTCACCTCTCAGTAGTCATAGTTACTTTATGCAAAACATGCCACACGATCAGTTCAAGTCAGCTTTTATACCGTACAAATAAGGACTTAACATCTCAAAAAATTTACCTCTTGCAAAGTTCGCCACTGAATCAAGTGGATTGGTGCAATTGCACAAAAAAGAATTGCTGCTCCAAGCTGCAGCTGGTAAGAGCAGTTCTCTGCTTGATGTGACGTCATAGTCAGGAAAGTTTTGCTTGTCGGGAAGCTTGGAATTCTGTAGATACCAGGTCACTTCGGGAGAAGGTATTCCATCCACAACGCATTGCAACAAAACTTTCCTGTTTGGCCTTGGTGTCTGTTTGAAGTCTGTTATTTTCGCCTTCGCTATTAAACAAGTTCGAGTGAATTATTAGTACAGAGCTGTACATGTTTCCTTAGCAACAAACCCTATCTTCATTCTACTAGGCCATTTCCCAGTTACCCCAAGCCTCCGTTTCAGTGCGAGGCTAAGTACGAAGCCATTGACGTCAAAATGATTTTCATTTTCACAAATTAGAGAGCTTTAGATTTGAAGACGAGGCCGACTACGACTACGAGATTAAACCTAAAACTTTTTCGCGTATTCTCGAAAAATATTCAATCTAGAAAGCTTCATTGTACTATTTTTCACCGGAAAAATTAGTGCGGTTATTTTTATTGCAGAAGGTTTAGCCCTTCCCCGGTCGCAAAATGATGAAGAAACTTCTATAATTTGATAACTTGTTTCCGCCACTACGACATTCTCGTCAAAACTCGCAGTAGAATCACGACGGTTCACTGGCGAGCAGTACTTAATACTGAGAAAATCTCGTTCTCGTCTCAGAATCTAAAGCTCTCTAATAGGACTAATTTGAACAAGAAAGGTTTTGCACTTAGTCTCGTTTTGAAAGTGAGAGCATTTTGAACTCGGTAATGGCCTATTGAGACACTAACACGGCAGTAAATGTTCAGAAGTAAGGAACTGGACAACCGCTCCGGTACAATGATGTTCGATGTGTGCGAGCGATTTGCTTCAGTTCTGTGCCGTTGCTGTTCATATTGTATCGGATACCGGTAGTGTAGATGGCATAGTCGAAGTTGCAGGTAGCTGGAGGCTACGAAAAATTTAGTGAAGTTTGCTCCAAGCATATGAAACAAACAGCCTTAAGACTTACTTCCAATTGACAACTCAACCGTTCCTTGTGTTGATCCTCTACTGTTCTTAACATTGCAAGTATACGACCCCTCATCGGCTGGTTGCACGTTATTGACAATATACTGGTGTCCAGATCCAGCGAGGCTCTGTCCATCTCTCAGCCATGTTATGACGGGAGGGGGATTGGACTCTGGTTTACACTCTAGATAAGCAGTATGTCCCTTGAGAACAAAAACAGGGGCTGGAGAGACTGGGAAGCGTGGAGCAACTGGAAAGCGAATGAAAACATCACTATTATTATATACATGTATTATTATATAGTGTTCTTTTGAGATCAGCCTCTTCAAATGTTTTGGAGACGAGCGGATTATGTACCGTAGCCAGCTCGGCGCCCCGTGGCTAGTTAAACCCATAAGCAGCTCGCCCCCAGAGCCAGTTTGCCGTAGACACTTTCTATCTCTCTATGGCTTTTCAGTTAGTTATGCAGTTTTGACTTTGGACCTTAAAGTGGGTGCATGAACTATCCAAACTAACAACTCAGCATAGAAATGGGTGTGCGAACTCGGTCAAACTTGCGGGTTAAGATGGTAAAGGGGAGGGGGGGAAGGGGGGGGGGGGGGAAATACCACAAAAGCCCGCCCCCCCCGACGTCATTTTCTCTGCAATCCTTTTTTTCTCTTTTTTGGTTTTTGATTTTTTTTTTATTTTTTGATGTTGACCTAAAAGGGGGGGTAATAAACTACAAAAACAAAACACCAGCAAAAGGAGGGGGGGGGGAAATCGGGGAAACTGTGGGGGTAAAGAGGGAAAGGGGGGGGGGGGGGGGGGGGGGGGGGGGTGAGAGAAAAGGAATTAGCTAGCGGGCAAACCACTCAGTAGGACACCAGTATAAAAAGTGCTGGCCTACTCCAGGCTCTTAATTGGTCGAGACGAGTGGGAAAAGCGCGCCCAAAAAACTAAAAAAAAAACTTCTTTGCCCGATATTTTTTCGCGACACATTCGTCTCCGCCCATCATTACCAAAAACCGCGAAAGACAAAAGCGAGATTATTCACTTACATAAGATATTTAAAAAAGCCTTTGCCATTTTACACCCAGCAGTATTGCAAGCTTTACATATATGCATTCCTCTGTGCTTTGACTTTGCATTGGTGTATTTCAGATCGCCGCTAGGATCCAGCTGTGTGTCTACACTGGCAACAATGTTGATTGGAATTCCACTGCCATCTTCTCTCAACCACGTGATTTGAGGGGTGTCTGGTCCTTTAGCACGGCACGTAAGAGTAACAGTGTGTCCCTCTTCCACTGATGCATTGCTTGGCAACGTTGTGAAAACTGGAAAATCTGTAACAGATGACATTTCAGTAATTTTTTTGTCGCTGAGATAATGGTGGAGGATGCAGCACAGTGGACATAATGTAATGAGGTTGTCCCCATTTCTTACGATTGTTGCAGTAAGAGTGAAACCACAGTGCATTAAATTTTATAGAAATCGGGAATGAAAACGATAATGTACAAGAAAATAAATGCCAAACCTGCCACTAGAAGATATGCCTTCGCTTCTCTGGTCCCCGCTTCGTTCATTGCACGACACGTTAACGATCCACTGTCCTGTGCAGTGACGCTGAATATTACTAGTGTCTGATTGGCTAAAATATGATAGCGCGCATTACTGGTGATGAGGTCATGTGACTTGTACCACGTGATTGATGGCCGTGGGTCTCCTAATGCAGCGCATGGAAAAGAGGCTGTATGTCCCTTGGGAATGGTTTGATTCTTGGGAGATTCAACAAATGTTGGTGGAACTAGAAAAAAAGTGGTCAAAAAGATGTCAAGACACGATAATACATACAGTCATGTTTTAAAGAGGGGAAAAAAGCATTATTGATGAAGCGTGAGAACTAAATGGATGGATGCCAACCAGGACAAAGTCGAGGTTTTAAAAAAGAAAAAACCAAAATGACATTCAAGTTTTGTGGCCAGTACTTCAGAAAAAGTATGGAGACTGACCGTTTTGAGAATATGCATCCTGACTTTATTTTATTACTTAGTTAAACAAAGGAAATATGTTACAACACAGCAACTTTACCTTGAACTATCAAATAGAAACCGCCCTGAACTGATCCCAGTGAGTTGTTTGCAGTGCACAAGTAAAATCCTTGATTATCGCGGCTTAGAGAAGTTATGTTAAGGCTGCGCTGTCTTGAAATAATGGACCCATTAAATGACCACTGATAATCTGGAACAGGAGCTGCATTAGCTGTACATTCCACAACAAGTTGACTGTTGATATTTTGTGTCCTGTTTGTCAAGTGTGTTGAGAATCTTGGAGGAGCTGAAACGAACCAATCGGTGACAAAATTAGTTAAGACATTTTGCCCTCAAGGACATTTCTCGCGTTGTCCCAACACTACCTTCTTCTAGAGAGGAGAATCAACGTTGCTCACCTGTCGCCGTAGGCTGTAAATAACAGAGAGTTTAAGCTTCATGTATACGGCAAACGGCAAACGTTAGATTCAAGTTGATAATTTCTCAAAATAGAAAATGAGCAGGGCCTGGTTTCTCGAAAGATGGTTAAGTTTTACCCAGGATTAAGCCAAATTTCAAGCACGGTTTTCTCATCTAAGAACATGCAACGCGGGGTTACAAAATATTGTTGAGTGTTTACTACGAGATACAGTAATGATAACACAAAATTTTACCCTAAGAAATGTATAGGAATGTAAAAAACAAAAACGGAACAAAATTTTAATCCAGGATTAAAGCTAATCGGCCTTTCAGGAACTGGGCCCTGATAAAAAACAGTTCAAAACAATTCTTATGGTTAAAAAATGGCGTGAGACTACTAATTTATGTGTAGAAATAATGAACAGTAAACGAAAAGTAAAGGAGAAACTTGGTCTCTTGTACAAATTTGCGTTTGCAATTTGACGCAAACGTGATGCTTAACCTCTCCTTTTTTTTTTTTGCTAAACCTCTCTAATGTTGTTCCGTTGTTCAAGCTACCTGAAACAGAATCAACTTGTAAGACTTAAATTTCACGTTTTTTTTTTTAATTTTGAAAATTGCAAAAGAGATTAAGAGTCACGTTTAGGGCAAACGGCAAATGTCAGATTCAAGTTGAGAGTTTCTCAGAATAGAAAATAAGCAGATAAAAACCGCCCAGAACAATTCTTTTGGATAAAACTAGCGTGAAATTGCTTAATTTTGAGTAGAAGTGATAAACAGTAAACGAGAATACGGGGGAAACTTGGTCACGTGGTACCAATTCACTTTTGCCGTTTGGTGTAAATGTGACTCTTAATCTCTCAAATAACAATATCTTACAAATCTGCACTACTACATAACACAAATTACACTCAAAGTATTAAAAGTACGAGTTTTTGGAAGTGCTAGTAGGAAAGGGAATCCTTGACACTTGAACACTTGTCTGAGAAAACAGGTCACATTTTGCAATGCCACCACTGGCAGTGGCGGATCCAGGGGAGGCCCCCCCCCTTATTTTTAGACCAAACTGAGGCCCAAAGGGCTGGAAAAATAAGACCAGGACCCGCTTATCTCAGGGTCTGGATGACCGGGCCCCTCCCCTTATCTAAAGGTCTAGTCTAGATCCACCACTGACTGGTTCCTCCTGCAAAATTACATCTAAGGAACGAGCGCAAAAATTCTGTGATGACCTATCACTAACCAGGTCTGGGTGCTCGTTCCTCCAATGGTTTCTCAGTGAAACCAGTGGTGGTGTCGCAAAATGTCATCTTTATTCTCTGGCCACACTACACACTTGCAGTGTTGTTAACCCTTGAAGCCCCAATAGTGATCGACATCCAATTTCTCCCAATAATACACTGCCTGATCAAACAGACAGGTCATGAGAATTAACGGAATGATCACCAAAGATGAAATGTTGTGATGTTAGAACAAATTCTCTCAAGCAGTACCATAAGGAATGTATGAAGAACAGTGTGGAGAAGATGCATGTTGATGCTGGGGCTTTAAGGGTTAATCCACCTGCAAGACAAGGATTTTATCCCTCAAGACAAGACTCTTGCATCGCAAGAGGATCTTGACTTATTTTTGAGCAGTACTGTACCTACCTAATACAGTCAGGGTAGCTGAAATGGATTGCCGACCAATACCGTTCACCGCTGTACATGTGTATGCACCAGCATTAATTCCAGTTACCATAGTGATGCTAAGGGAGTTGTTTGCGAGGACCCTTATATTACCAGACGGCTGAGACAGCAGAGTCAGTATGGTCCCACTGGGTGTGGTCCATTCCACGTGAGGAGCAGGATCTCCCTCAATGATACAGGTGAACTGAACAGATGAGTTCTCTGTGACTACTTTGTTTGATGGTCCTGTTATAAAGCGGGGATAACCTAGAAGATCAAGAAAGAACAAATAACAAGCATTATCATTCAATGCAAATTTTTCTTCCTGTTTGTTTGCCAAAAGCCCACCGCATGACCTGCAAATATCTACCTACAAAATAATAATGGTCTGCTCATGCCCAATGTTGTCCATCTGTATTTGGCTGCAAAAAATTTTCTGCTCAGGCATAAATGAAATCACACTTTTCTCCTAATTGCAATCACTCTTATGTGAAAAGGACAGATCACCTCACTTAGAGAAGATATTCATTAAAAAACAAACTCAGTAATCAAAGTATAAAACAATTATTGAGCTCTCTCATTGCCATTGACAAATCATGGTATTTTGCTCAACCCCTTCCAATAATATTTTTATTATTGCTATGAGTTTGTTTCAAGGACAGATGGAGAAAAACTTTCAAACAGACAGACAGACAACAGTTAAGCTGGCTGTAATTTATTGGAACTTTTTTTGGTGAGAAGGTTGAAAGTATAGCTATAAATTGGCCAAATACCAAATCTCAACAGCTAATAACGAGAAAATCACCTTGAATACGCAAAAATGCATGTGCTGTTATTTTGCCCAGGAAATTTTGTGCTGTACAGACATAAGTGCCATCATCATTGGGCTGAAGATTAATAATTCTAAGTGATCCTGGTGAAGGCTCCTGTTGTCTATCAGCTGGGATTATCCCTCCTAACTTGCTCCACGTGACGGTTGGAGAAGGGCTTCCTGCTACTGAACAGTAGAATGTTACTCGCCCTCCTTCATTTGCAGTTTGGTTAACTGGTCTCCTTGTAAATGAGGGAATAGCTGGAGGATCTTGAAAGAACACAAACAACTATTAAATTACTGGTTTTGGAAGGAAGTGCGTTTCAAAGTTCTGAGGGACTGGCATAAAGTGTTTGTAAAGGGGGTATACTGTATTACATGATTTATATTACTACATGAGAAATTTCTGCAATTTGATTGGCTCAGAGATTGGTGTTTCAGCTTAATTCTAAATACCTGCATGAGAAAATTTAAAAAGGCCTTTTGTGGGTAGTAGTATAAACAAATAATAGCATGATTTGTAAGCGATATTTGTCATAAATACCACTTATAATATTTCAAAATTGTCTCAATACTATCACATGTAGTATTTATGCCAAATGTCACTACAAATCATGCTATTACCTACACAAACTCATAAGGAGCACCTCTATTAAAATATACCATATTTAACTGAATAAGCTCCATGGCACTCATTAAATTTTCCATGCCTCAAATATAGTACTTATTTGGGAGCAGTGTTAATTTATTTGAGGGCAGCTTTTATTTGAAAGTTGGACGTGACAAACATTTGTCTTTTAATAATGATTACATCAGGGTCACAGCGCTTATTTGAGTTTGGTGATGTCTTTAACCCTTTATGTCCCAATAGTGTCCAAAATCAATTTTCTCCTAACAATAACAATAGATTGTCAAGAGCAAAGTCTACAAGAATTGATAAAATGATCTTACAGAGAAAAATCTTGGATTTTTTATCAAATTCTTCCAACTCATTCTTTAAGGAAATGTATGGTGATCAGTTTGCAGAATTTGTAAGTGGATATCAGGGCTTAAAGGGTTAAACTTTTTTTGTCTCATATGGTGTGCTTATTCAAGTAAATATGGTACATTTCTTGTAACAGAAAATAAGAATAGCATTAGTGCAACTACGCTTAATTCTTAAAGAGAAGGAAAGGGAGACATCATAAATGATAACTTTTCAGAGGTGCTGTCTGTACATAACTGAGTACCATAGAATTCCGAAAATAAGCCCCGGGGCTTATATTTTTCAAAGACCCTTTTTAAGGGGCTTATTTTTGGAGGGGCTTGTATTCAGAGGGGCTTATCTATGAACGAAAATTTGCGTTTCAAAAACAATTGGGCTAGTCTTATAGTTGGAAGTAAATTTACCGTTTTTGCTTTCTTTTACTTTGTATTTGAGGGCAATTTTCCAAGCACAAGCCCCCAGGGGGCTTATATTTGGAGGGGCGATTTAACAGACGGTTTTTTGTGTTACCAGTTTGGGGGGCTTATATTTGGAGGGGCTTACACATGGAGGGGCTTATTTTCGGAATTTTACGGTATAAGTAGCAGCTAAAACTGACCTGTAACACGCAGGGTTGTACTGGCTGTTGTGGTCCCATATGAGTTTTCAGCTTCACATGTGAAGAAACTACCATCATCACTCTTTAACAAATTACTGATCTTCAAAGATTTATTGCTGAACACTTCAAACCTTCCTCCTGAGGTTATGATGGCATTGCTACTGTTTTTCCAACGAACAGTAGGCTTAGGGTTGCCAACAACAACACAGTGAAATATTCCAGACAGGCCAACATAGGTGGATAACAGTGATGGAGCTTGAGTGATAGTAGGCTTGCCTAAGAAGACAAAAATAATGTGTTGTTGAAGAAAATATCCACTACCACCCCACCCAATGGAAGGTTATTAGAAATTTCAAGTGGGGTGGGCAGTTCTTAAACAGGCCAAAATTTTGAAAGTAAAGTATGAACAGAACAATTGGAAATTGTGGAGGGATGGGGGGTCAAACCAGTAAATTCTCCATGGTACAGGATGAATATTTTCTGGGCCTATAGTTTGTTTTCACATGATGTCATGGCAGTTATATTTGTCTACAAAACAATGAAACATCGTCTGGTGTACCAGGAAAATCCTGTGTTCCAACTCTTGGGAGTTAAAGAAAACAAAACCCTGGTACCTCAAAGAGTTATGAATGGACATGTACAGGTAAAAGAGCCAAAGAAAGAAAGAACTCAACTAATGCCAGCAGTGAAGAACCAGCCATATAAAACTTGCTAAAACAGCTACATGACCTCTTTCCTCTGGCCCAAAATGAAAGTCTAGCAATTTTATGGCCCAGCAGTGTTCTACATACTAAATAAATAGTTCCCCTAAGAAATGAAAATGTACCTTTGACAGTTAGTATTCCAGTTTTTTCCCCACTCTGTCCTGACTGCCTGTCAGTAGCAATACATGAGTAGTTCCCAGAATCAGAAAACTCCAGATTACCAACCGACAATGTTGACAAAGATCCCATAAGTGAGATGCTTCCTTTGCTGATATTTCTTCCATCTTTAAGCCAGTGATAGCTGGGTTGTGAAGCACCTATTTGACATTCAAAGATGACTTGTCCGTCCTTGAGAGCAGTCTGAGAAACAGCTGGTTCCTTTAAGAAATTTGGTGCAGCAGCTAAAAGATAGCAAGAAGTCTCATTTAGAAATAATGATTAATTCTGATTAACTTTTACTAACAAGTACATATTATTGTAAGATTGAGACCTGTGGTGGGTTATTAATTTTATCTCGTAAAAAAATGTTTGCTAGTATTAAGCCCAGAGTCAGCGTAGGTCTTTTTATGCATGGCTTACAGCGGTACAATTCACTTAACTTACAAGAAAAGGGAGAGTGTTTTTACATTTTGTTTCAAAACAGATTTATTTAACTATGTAGTAGGTTATTGCATTGATGGCAGAGCTGGGCAAGAGGGGCACTTTCACACTTTCCTGTTTGAGTTAGAGAAGTTCAATATTATACCTGCCAACTTTTTCTGAGATATAAGCGTGAGATTTTTATCCTGGGAGTGCTGGGATTTTTGAAGACGACACGATTATTTCCGAAGATTCCCGAAGAATTCCGAAGTCTTCCGAAGAAGTCCGAAGTCTTCCAAAGACGTCCAAAGTCTTCTGAAGACGTCCGAAGTCTGCCGAGGGTTAAGTTATCGAGAAAACGCTTATCCACAATATCAGACATCGCGAGGTATTGTCATTTATTCATTTTACACATGGTTTTCGTTCCTTACATGGGTCTGAGTTAACATATTTTTGGAAATTGTGTCAAGCAAGACGGCAGCAACTCACATTTTTCAATCAGGCGTGAGAAATTGGCCCGCAAGCGTGAGCCGGCGTGAGATTGAAGTTTTCAACCCACAGGCGTGAGACTCACGCCTAAGGCGTGAGAGTTGGCAGGTATACAATATGTATTATTTACTATCTCACCTGCATTAAATTGAATAATCCCAAGAAATATAAGTAAAAATGCTGCAGAGTGTTGCATACTGTCTGGTACAATCAAAGATCTTGTGTGTATAACTGCTTTGTTCTCTTTAAATTAAATTCCTTGGAAGAAGAAGACAAGTTAAGGAAAGAAATAACATATGGTCAGTCGTCGTCTTATGAATATAAGACTTTAAACTGCAACATCTGCATAGGATGACTTTTTCTGCGGTATTTCTTGCCCCTGCCTTCTTTCCAATGGGCTAAGTTCATATGCTTTCAACTTTGATTATTTCAGAGGGTAGTGAGGGGTACATGGATAGGTGAGCTCTGACCTAGGTTCGATTTCTACCACTCTCATCTCCTGAGTCTGGTTTTTGATCCTCCCCAAATGAGTGCAGGCTCATTTTCGATGGGGTGGCAAAGAGGGGAAAACCTATCATGCGTCACACCAATTTTTTTAAGCTATCACACATCACGGAAAAATAATATAAAATATTGACTACATTAACAAGTATCATATTATCATTTGATCTGAGGAAATCAGAGGCCGAAGAACGAGAAAAAAGGTCAAGAAGTTGGTGTCATAACTATCTGTTTTTGACGTCTCTGCTTCTAGTTTCAAATGATATTAACTTAACTATCACGGAAATTTCAAAGGAAAATCACGCATCACGGGTTGTGAAAATAGCAAATCACGTATCACGGTGCTATTCCCAATTCCACCTCATGTTGATAATTTGGGTCCCATCACACATCATGAAAAACCCCTTTGCCACTCTGTTTCCAAACAGCAACTAGTTTTGAGCCTGGCACAGAGCAACTTAATGTGTGAAATGCGTGAAACAGGGGGTTTCAAAATTCAGACCACTGACATTATTATGAACCTCCTTTACGAGGATAACAATTATTATTCCTCAAGCCCGAATTAGCCCTGAGTCGGCCAAAAGGGCGACTGACTCACTGAGAGGCCATGAGAGTCAGAGGAATAATTGTTTTAGTAAAATCCAACTAGTTGATCAAAGATATAAAGAATTAAAAAATTTTAGCTAGTTAAAGCTAGACTCTAATCCTTTTTTGCCGTTAAAAAGCGTGTGCTTTTCACTGCTAGTGAGCTATAACATATAGCCTTGTAGTAGCTCAACCAATCAGAACGCAGCATTGATAATAGACCACTAGTTGGATTTTACTAAATCCTCATATCCCTGGTGACGCTAAACTACTCTCATTTTCTCCTTAGACTTGAATATGACTGATTTCATACATTTAAATTATATCGATGAAGCTGAATACTTTGAATTTGCAAGAGGCAATCCAAACATAATAGCTCTGAGAGACTTGTAAACAAACATTTTGAAAATACGATCATTACGGTTAATTTCCTATCAAGCATTGTGTATCAAGGGCAATCCAATGTAAACAACGCCGATGGAATGCCTTTTTGACTTTAAAAATGGTATAACTTCGAACAAATTTCCTTTTTCAGACAAAAAAGGAGGTAAAAACGAAAATCTATTCAACACTCCACGGTAGTTGAAACTGAGCCATGTAACAACATTTCGGGTCAATTACATCCGCGTTCATCCTCAAAGAGATCGTATTTCTCGACTGGAAAGCATTTTACGAGATAAATAGATCAAATGGGTTACAGTAATTCATACCCTTACCTTGTTAAGTTCATGACAAACATGGTTTACTATACTTGTCGATTTTACAGACAAAATTAAGCTTCCAAGCAACAACTAGAATAGGACGCTGTCCCTTCGAAGGAATGTACCTTTCACGGTGCCATCTTGTTACTATGTTGGTACCAGTCCTCTATACTGTATCACTGTCAAGCGTCACACAATGTCACACAACCCACCAGTGACCACCTCAGGCAAACCAAAATAGGTTCACAATCTGCCAAATGCCCGGAAAATACTCAGGAAGTTGGGCACATTTAAATTCGATAAAATAGATTGAGCCATAAACATTCAATATTTGAAGTCACTAGTGCAAATGTTGTTGTTGGGGAGTTCTTCGAGTAGGGTGGGGTGTTTTTTGCGGGCATGAACAGTATTAGAAGAGACAACAGAACATACAAAAACAGGTTAATCGTATTACTGCTGGGGACTATTACAATGACCGGGAACATGAATAATAGAAAGAACGTATGGTAAGTCTTTCTAAGTTTATGAGACCTCAGCGAAAACGGAGGTAGTATTCTTCTCTATGAGACTGGGAACGAATTACGAATTAGCGTGAAGTGTTTGCGTGAAGTGTCAAACATCAAACATGGCGGTGTTTCATAAAGATCCGTGTGGAGTTATTTGCGTTTTGATGACTTACTCTGCGGTGTTATACGCCGATTATTGCCTGGTTGAACACGTTATTATCCCCACACTCACAGACAGGTGAGTTTTTGAGAAATATCCGTGTCTCTAGGGAAATAATTTTATAAGTTTTGTTGTCTAGAACGCGTTCATCAAGTTAGACATGATTTAGAAATCGAAAACACTTGCTCAAGCTATTTGATCTTCGATCTTATAGCAAAATATTTTGCAGAGATACGTTAATATATTGAGCCATTTTAATTACTCTGCTCTATGACTATGGACATCGTATTTTTAAATTGTAAAAACAGCTGACCGGCCCACATGATTTTCGGCTGAACTTCAGAATACCAGGCCACTTATTTAGCTTTATTTAAAACAAGTTTAATGAAAAACATGCCTCGTTCTTTAAAGCGTTCCAACAAGTGGTCAGGTACTCTTCATTTTCATCTGCTTATGACTGAATTTGAACCACTCCAGAAAATACCATAACATACCATAATGCTCTTTGTTTGTCAACCCAAATTTTGCATAAGCGTTGTTTTCGTAAGTTTCTCTTGGGGCCATTTTAACTCCCAAGAGAAACTGAAGACAATGCTTATGCAAAATTTTGGAGTGACAAACAAAGAGCATTATGATATGTTATGTTATTTTCACTAGTGGTCAATTGTTTTTAGTGGTCTATACCGATGCAAATTAGCTATGCCTATTTTCTCAACGTCAGAACTCAAAGTGGACTCCACTCTTATGTCAAACTATGAAGTATGAGCACTGCTCACACACTGGCCAAAATGAAGTTTTATAGTTAAAATCCCATGATCAGATAGCCTCTGCCAGGAGGCCAAAAAAGTGTAACTTACGCTAGTCCACTAGCCACAGAAAGTTTAGGTAGGCGAGGACAGGGGAGGTGGGGAGCGCAGGAGAATAGGAGTTAGGAGGGTTATGGAAAGCTAGAGTTCTAAAAGGGTGGGAAGTGGGAGAAACAGGATGAAAATTATGAAAAATGCTTTATATTTTTCAGTGATTTTGTTGCAAATAGTTATGGTGAGTCCTGGGACTCATCTTGTGAAAAATCATGAGTCCCTGTCCATAACCAAGGAGTCCTAAGTTGGAAATGCTTGGGCCCTTATGTAACCAGACAGTTAATCTGGAGACAGATGCCAAAACTCTTCATTACAGTTTACTGAAATTAAAATTTAGTCCTTTAATATATTTAAAGCACAAAAAAGAGAACTAGATTAAACAACGGTCACAGAAATCACGACATAAAAATTCCGCCAAAAAATCTTCAAATTGATCGATCATTCTTTGCATCCCACGGGAGGGGATTTTTTTGTATCAGGGACAGAGGACGTAGGATGCAGAGGTAACAAAATCATTGTATTTCAAAAAAAGGCTTAATAACAGAAAGCCAAAAGAGACTGGAGCCAAGAATGCAAGGTGCAGAAAGCAGGAGGTTTGGACCCCCTCTCCCCTTAGTTTGTGTCAAAAATTAAAGGAGACTGGCCCCACACCACACTTACTCTGCCCCCTACCCCTAGATCAACCCCAGTAGTTACAGGTGTGTATGAAAGATCTGGTTTTCCTTGTTAGATGGTAAATACATTTTTTGTCCTCTTTTCTAACTTGCAGTATCTGGGGTAGCCTACATGTGTGCATATTTAATGTCATTGTACTTCTTCTTGCAATTTCACATGCCAGAGCATCATTTTCTGATCCAGGTAAGCTCTAGTTAATCTACGTAAATCCTTAGAAATTAATATACTCTCACTTGAAGAGTTTTATTTATTTGCCAGTATTTATTTTTGCCAGTTTAACTCTCCTTGGTTGTATAAGCTCATGCATCTGATCAAAGAACAATTGTGGTATTTCTGAAAATACAACAACATTATTATATTTTCAGAAATACCACATTGTTTACATAAATCTTCTGGCGGAAACGTTTGCTTCCTGGTTGCTGGGTACTTAATGCATTAATTAGAAGAGTACCCAGTATCATGTATAATACCTAGGAATTTGATGTCTTATTCTAAAACTGCTTTTTAACATATACATGTAGGAATGGTACTATAAATGTTGAAAGCCATGCCAGAAAGTAACCTCTCCTAGCGGGGAAACAAAAGGGAGGCAGAGCACCCAGTCTTCTTCCTTAGATTATCTATTGCTTACAAGACTATAACCATGATAAAGCACCATCCTAATTGCATCTGTTATTGAGGTTTCTATGTTTTCAATGGCGCCTGGCGGATCTTAAGCTGCCTTGCACAGTTCTTTTCAGGGGCTTTCTCTGAGTTGGGAACTGATATCCATTTTGTGCCTCACTTTGAAATTCACTCCATCACCCTTCCCTGTTGGACGCTTTACTAACTCAACACTTTCGGATCTTACTTAGGTGTTGTAGCTCGTCCTTCAACAAGTCTGGATTTCTCAGAAATTAATAAAGCAAAAAATAAACAGAGTCAGGTATGGTATAGTAAATACGATCAGGAAGAAACTAATCATCTCCTGTTCTATTTATTATTATTATGAGATGATGATGATTATTATTATTAACAAAATTGTGATGTCTTCCTTTCCTGCTATCATGTTTTAATACAAACAAATCTTCCTTTGCAACAACCTGTTCTTTGCTGTGTAAATGTAAATGTAAATATCATGTTATCTACTCCCTCAGGGCTTTTCAGGGATAATTTACAACACCGGTTGGGGGACTTTGCCAGACTGCTTAAGGTGCAGTTTACAAGTAATGAAGGAATGAGTAATGATGCCCCCATACATTAGTGTGAAATTGAGATAGACCACTACACCGGGCACTACGTGCCCTACTCTTTACGAAGAGTGTGTGGGTTCTTTAACGTCCCACAGATTTTTTATTACATGTGCAAGGGCTTGTGAGATGGGGCCTACAGTTTATCCTCCTTATCCCAGAAGATTGGAAAGTCAAACCATTTCCAGATGTTATTACAAAGGCAGCACTTTCTCCTCAGTTATTTAAAGACCCTACCTACGGCCTCCTGCTCAGCAGACTGGCGCTTATCCCATTCAGCTAACCGGGCGGCTGTCTTGAGCTCATCACTCAAGAATCCCTCTTATCATTTAGTTTCACCGTATCACACCTACCCTGTCCCTCGTAGTTCTGTGAGAAAATCTGTGTAGTGTGTCATTATGCTGAAAATGCTTTGAACATATAAATTTTATTGATTGACTGATCATTATAACACTGGGGCATCATCTGTGACAAAGAAACACTCCTCAACATTTTTAGTGATTAATAATTCTGATGGATTTAATTGATTTTGAGCATTTTGAGTTTTAAATATTTTTTAGGATGAAAATGAATGGACTATCTGTATTAAATGTGAAGCATATCGTCCTCCAAGGGCTCATCACTGTCGGTAGGTCAAAATAAAAAATTGTACTACATTTTTTAACAAAATACATCAACTCAACTAAAACCCCTTCGGCAGTGTTTTCATTGCATTGCTTATTTTTAAAGTATATTAATAACAGTCTGACTTTTTTTATTACACAAAAATATTCTTGTGTTTTTAGGTAACAGAAATCAATAATAATATTTATTTATTGCATCATTTTGCTTTTTAGGACGTGTGGAAGATGTATTAGAAAAATGGATCACCACTGTCCATGGTATGTACTGCACTGTGAGGAAATCAGTGATTTTGTTTTTCCTGCATCCCTGGCACATAGAGAAATCCCTAAAGATACAAAATAATCAGCAGCATGTATCATGTAGGACCCAAAACGAAATCAACTGACCTGAGGATAATTTTGAAGAAATCTGTGCAAATTAGGCCCGGTTCAGACGCTGCTCCACTCATGTGCTCTCACTCATGTGCTGAACCTAACTGATGAATTAAGTACGGCAAAAGAACGGCATCTGAATTAATTTGGTATGGTAGCTTTAGTCTGGTGCATCAAAAGGGTTAAGTTCGACAGTGACTGTCAAAGTGTTGTTGAACTTAACTTGGGCTCAACACAGAGTGGGTCGTCTGAATCAGATGTCACGCTAGTGTCGCTCCAGAGTTCAACTTATTCAGTTAGGTTCAGCTGATGATAAGAACGGCGTCTGAACCAGGTCTTACATACTAGATGTCTAGAATTAGATGTACATTGGCCTGTCCAATGCAATGGGCTACAATTGGCAAATATGGTGATAATCACCCTTCTTTCCATGCTGGGTGTGTAATCTGTTACACTGTTGATCATAAAGATCTTTCTGAATATCACTCAGTTCAGGGTAAGCTCAGACATTATCTTTCAATGACAAATAAAGCAGGACACCACGTGACTTATGGTGGACACTTCACAGAGTTATGCAGAGTGAAAACCTTCACTCACCTTTTTATTTCTGGATGAATGTAGGAGTAATAATCTGTAACTAGAAAAGCAAAATCCCACATGATGTTGATCAATTTTTCAATTCCCCTTATTTCAGTGCCTTTAAGCAGTGTTCAAAAACATTTTTTTTTTGAAACATTTGTTACTGTTCATTAACTGTTAGGTTGATTTATGAATTTACTGACTGTTTTGCTGTGGTTCCAGGATCAACAATTGTGTAGGGGAAGCCAACCAGAAGTATTTTGTTTTGTTTCTTTTCTATACAGGTAAATGGTTTTAAACTGCTGTTAAGTTTGGAAAAAATATGTGATCTCAAGTCAGGAAACTTTGAATCAATAGTTGTTTTTGTTTTCTGGGATGTTAAATATGACATTACTATGCTGTCTGTGCTGATGATATGAGTGCCACAAAATGAAATATTATTAGTTTTTTTTAGGAGGAGGGGAGTGGTTAGAGAGTGTTAATACTCTCCTTAACTAGTTAGGAAGTGCTTGAAAAATTCTGCACCTTGTTCATTTGTTTGATGCCAGTTTATCCAACTAAATCTTAGCTTAGTAGATGAATGGGCCTGGGTCCATGCAAGACATCTTGTAACCAAGTTGTTAACCAAGACAAGCAGTCAATAGCCTTGGGTAAGGAAATGTGAGAGCTGGTCCAAGGGACAAGCTGCAATTCAAGTTCTTTTGAGACATAAAATGGGATTTTAGGTAACAATGATATGATTTCCATATGAAAAGACTGTTGATTATGTTAAAAAACTTCCTCTGACAACAGAAGGACACCCTGGTTAACCCTTTCTGTGATCATCATCATTATCATCATCATTGTCATCATCATCATCAAGTAAACGCCTAATATCTTTGTTTATGAATCTCAATTGAAGAAGCACACCTTGCAGATTTCCTCCAGTTGTTTCCTGGGGAAGAGGCAGACTTGCACTTGGCATTAAGTCCAGGGGAACATAGCAGCTCCAAAACACAAACAAACAAACAAACAAACAAACAAAACAGTATTATCTTCTTCTTCTACAGGTCTTGCATCCCTGTATTGTATAATTCTCACAGCTGTGTCATGGACCATGGAATGTCATGGTTGTTCAAAGTATTATGAAAAGAAAACAAGATTGTAAGTTTCTTCTAAGTCAGTCAGCTGTTTTCATATTATGGCACTGAAAAAAAAATCTAAAAGAAGTGGTGAAAATTTCAATAGATAGTTGAGCACATTACCTGTTATGTTACCTGTTTATAAAACTGCAAATCTGTAAGTTTTTGTGGATTTTATTGTGTAAACTTGTGATTTGAACACTGACAGTTTATTTTATGAGAGGACCATTTTATACTTTATAGCCATACTGACATTACATTCATCAAAACAAAGTGGATCGAAAGTGTATGAACAAGAAGTGAATCTCGTGCTCAAATTAATTCAATACTGTATTTGCTCAAAATAAAATAATATTTTAGGACTCATGATTAGAAACACGACCATATCTTTATAAACCTGGAATACACTCTTCTTAAAAGAAGAATATCTATGATCTGTGATTAGAAATGGGCAATGAATTCATTACTTTGTTATTGTACATGTACAATTGTAACAAAGATCCATTGTAAGTTCACTTTAAATGCTGCTTATTTGACTTAGTGGATATTAAGCTCTAAAAAACTATCCAACTAAAAGAAGACTGTTTGTGTTTTAGAATCCACACTGTAATTTTGATGATTGAAGGCTGTTTGTTTGGTTTATTTGTATTAGCCATGTTGTGTGACCAGGTGAGTTTGCAAAACCTTGGGTAGCCTGTGCCCTGTGCAATAAAAATTTCTTTGTTAGAATTGGATTAGTGGAGAGGGGTAAAAGGAAGATTACCTGTCTTCTTACTCTCCACCTCTTATTCCATCATATACACCTCATTTTCACCCCGGACAAATAAATGATGCTTTTACTATATTTCATAGTTATTTTTGGCTCACTTGTATTGCTTTAGACTATGAGTAGTCCCCATTCTTCCTCAGGGATAGTAGAGCGAGCGAAACGCAAGCACGCGTGAAAATCACCTCGCGAGAAAACGTTTCGCTCGCTCTACTATCCCTGAGGAAAAATGGGGACTACTCGTAGTCTAGTATTGCTTCAAATGCACTTGTGAATATTATCACACGAGGCCAAGTGCTGTGTTCTGATTTGGTGTTGCAGCTGTTTAGCTCATCAGCTGATTTTATTGTTAATTTGATAAATAAAACTGTGCATTGTTCTTGCTAATTTCTTTAAACTGCCTTTATTCAAAAACTCTTGTGGTAAGTATCACCGTGTTACTTGTGTAATGGGAAAAGGTCCAAGTTTCACCAGGGGTACAGAGCACTTTGACTGCAGTGAAGTTGACTGTAATTACACTCAATTGTTTAATATTTCCATTACAGTTTTCAGCTATTATGGACGACATGACAGCAGTTGAACATGTACAGAGACAAATCAGAGCCAATCGCAAACCAAGAACGGCTCTCCTTGCTGAAGTGTTTGGCAGAGGTATGTGCGCGTGTTGTTAATGTAAAGGTTTAATAAATTGAGACCCATTTTTCTGGGGTGTTGAGTTGTTTGCAGCAATTTTAGGGCCCGAGGGTTAACCGTTTTTCTCGTAATTCAATGTTGCTGTTGCAGGTGCTTATCTTCTGTGGTTTTGTCCATGTTCGTCGCCGAGGAATCTACAAAGATCGACAGTAGCTTCAGAACGCTATAACGTCTAACCCTCAAGTGTAAATATACCACACATACTACATGTACGAAACCAAGTCCTGCAGTTCAGTGGCGTTTCATTGTAAAAGTCTTAAAGAGTGCAAGGCATTTTGGTCTGGAAATAACCATGCAGAGTGAACAATGCCGTTAAAATGTCCAGTATTTTTTAAATATCAGCCGAATGCTTTGCAGTAAGATACTTGTCCCCTTGACTCTTTCACCGAATTCATAACAGTGAAGCGAAGCGATTAACAGCCGGAGCGGGTGACTGGCGAAAGGAAGACTCAATAGACTGTTAGTCTTCGATGTTCTGGAGAGGCAGTGGAACTTCATGTGAATAACCCCGCCGCTCTTTAAAGAAACAAAAACTTTATGAGCGATGTACAATCTGCTCAGTTTTTACTCAGTCTAACCCTTTCAATCTCTTAGCTAATAATCGTGAAAAAAAATTGTTACGTATCAAGAAAATAATCTATATTCATTGATCATATGCCTAATTTATATAATTTTAGTACCTAAATTTAAACTGTATTCAACGGTTAAGACAGGAGGAGACAGACTGTAAGTATTTGTAGGTCATTCATAAGGCCACAAGGATCTTTCCTCCATCTTGTATAGAAAGTAATTCAGTGTATTCTCCATCATATTCAAGCGTAAAATAAGCGTGTCAAGGAGGAAGATGAGACCTTACAAACATTCATGCTGGTTTATGTAACTTTTATAAAAACGGTGAAGAAGATGTAGTTTTTCAGTGTTATATCGTAAGAGGCTCATTCAACCTATAGTTCTGAGCTGCAAATATCGTCGGAGATGGTCTGTTTCAGTATGATTTAAATAAAGGAAAAGAAAATTAATGAATCAGTTGGTAATTTGAAAGGCATATTTATAGAGCTACTTAAAGAGTAGAAATTCAAGTGGACTTAGAACCCGTCCACACGAATTCGGATATTTTAAAACTGCATTAGTCTTGCTTCAAGTCGACCTCACATAAGTTCTCAAAAGTGAGCGAAGCGAGCTTTAATGCATGAGGTCGCGCAGCGACCGAGCGAGCAATGAAGTCTCGAGGTTGACTTTTTTCGCATGAAGGAAGAAAATGATTGACATATACTGTGTCGTGAAATATCACTCGCTGTCCTATTGGTCAATCATTACGTCACCGATAGAATTTTCGACCGGTGAATTTCGCGCAAAACGGTATGAAAAGTCCTTTAACCAAACCATGAAAAAAAAAAAAATAAATAAATAAAAGACTTTTAGAAAGTCTAAAACCGCATATGTTTTTCACGCAATTCGGCCTTCTGTCCACATGAAACCAAGGAATCCGCTCATTCATCCGCGGCCTATTTGTGTAGAAAAGATTTGCAAAAAAATATCCGGATTGGTGTGTAGGAGGCTTTAGATGGTCGGAATTCTCTGCATTTTAATCATAGAAATAACGCTAAAATTTACCAGTGAGTATCAATAAACATAGCGCTAGTAGAAACAAAATGAACTAATTAGTTAAATCAGTAAAGTAGTTCGTGCTTCGAAATTGATAGTATTAAAAAGGCAGCGAAGTCTATCATCATGACTATAGATTCACTTTTCTTAGGGCCTGTTTACAGGGAGGTGGGGGACCCCGGGTAGGCGAGGTAACCCGATGAGGTGGGGTACATGATCCTCCTGTCCATATAATCTCTCGTTTTAATTTGATCACGTTTACATGATAGGCAGGGTGTCCATGTGAGAGATTATATGGACAGGCGGGTTACCCCACCGAAGCTGGTTACCTCACCTACATGGGGTCCCCCACCTTCATGTAAACAGGCCCTTAGTTTTACCATAAGACATGCAAATGAAACAACTTGTTATGGAAACCTGCGATGAGTCGTTTTTTTTTTTCACCAAAAGGGAAGAAGGACCGCCTGTTCGCAGGTGACTTGTTATGGTAGAACAGGGTGTTCATTCTTAAGCATCGGAGATAGGAGAATTCTCCCGTTTACTGCGCTGAATTCTCCGGCTAACGTTCGGTAGCCTATGACTACTTTTTATTCAGAGGTAGAGCCTTTTTCAAATTATTCTCCTGTAACGTTACACCTTTCTCCTGCTACCAGAATTCTTAATAAAAACCCTGCTTCGAAGGGAAAACTCGAACTTCTCCTTGGAATACCAAAGAAATCTTTCGATTTAGCGTGTTCCAGGCGTTCAGATTGTGGGGACGGCGAAATGAGATGTGAGCAGGAATATAGCCTACGCGTAGCTATTTGTTCCGAATATTTACTGAATACGCTGTAGTAAATAGAGTTTGATGAGGTTCTCACCGGCTATTACCCTACCCCCCCCCCCCCCCCCCCCAACAAATTTTTTTTAACTTTCCCAAAATTTCTCTTTTTATAAAGTTTAAAATCGGGGTCGTTACTAACCTGAATCCCCCGTGAAAAAACCCAGAAGGGCTGGGAAAACCCCAACAAAGGGCCCAGGCCAGCCCCGGCCCC